CCCTGTACCAAATGCCCTGCGGCCCAGTACCGGACCGCGGACCGGCGGTTGGGGACCCCTGATCTAGTGGATGCATTGTAGATAGCGCCTTATAGTTCAGTGCGTTCAATATATGAAGAAAAAAATAAAATCCAGTGCACCTTTTAGTTCGGAAAATACGGTAATCTGTTCATCGTTTATTATATTATTTATTCAATCACACTTTGGCGCTTTGACCTTTGAAAAAGCGTTTGGGAAGATGATGTAACATTATTTACGATTATTATTAAAAATGACTGCCAGGTTCAGATTCACATAGAAAGAGAAGTTGTTGGTAAAGTATAGGCCATCTGGATGCTGTCCTTCCAGGGACTCTCAGTGGTAAACAGTCAGACATCTTTGGGGCTACACATTGGACTTACCTGTGCTTCTGAGGGAAACAAATGCTCCAGTTGAGTGACTTGTGATTTTGTGGTCATTAAAATGACTCCTTCTATACAGTACTTGTGTACATCTCTGCATCTGCTCTTTCTAACAGGAAGTCAGGTTAGGAGCGACTGCACCAAACGTGGCAGCACATCATGCCAGCTGTGCCTGAACGGAACCTACATGAATATCCCGACTGGCCTCAAAAACTGCTTGCCGTGCACAAACTGCAATGCAGGTAAACCTCATGTTATGTTTTCCGATTATTACTAAATATGCTTTCCCAGCTGTAGATTCGGGTGTGTAGAACATTTTCTAAATGGAGGTGAACATGCATTTTAGTAGGAACTGCTCAAGTGGGACACACACACACACACACACACACACACACACACACACACACACACACACACACACACACACACACAAAACACACACACACACACACACAAAGATGGGGTAGAACATCTGGTCAAATGGAGCAACGATAACAACTTTTGCATCAATGTGAAGAAGACAAAGGAGATGGTGGTGGACTCCAGCAGAGCTCACTGTGGCATGGGAAATTGCTATGTAGAAGCCAGCAAGTGACAGAGTTTTAATTATGCTGAGATGGCCAGCCAAGGTCCTTGCTGGAATTATATTCGAGAGGATGAAGTTGTTGAAGAGGTTGGACCTCAACGTTTGAGAGACAGGCTTCCTTTCGAAGAGAGATCTGGAGTGGAACTCTCCCTCGATATCAACTTCAGAGATGACAAAAAAGGCTTTCAATCATGTGTTCAGAGATACACTGTGGAACAAGAAAAAATTACCTTTGTCATCCAGTTCACCAATCAGGAACTGTCTTCTGATGCACCTTGTCTTCCTCTGGGTCATCGACTGAATCACGAAGACCTCCTCCGTAGGATTAAACAAAAGAACACAGTGAACTCTGAAGACACAGCTGGATGATCTTGACTCTTCTGATCTGACCTATACTGCGACACTTGACTCACTGCCACAACTAGAGACAAGACCATTTTCACAGAGAAAACATAGGCAGAGATGGGGCACTGGATCAACAATAAAACGGACGTCAAGAAGATCAACGCCAATGCCAGCAAGAACACTAGTCATGGTGTGTGGAGACTCCATCAGGGAGATTTAAGCAACGATTAAATACACCTAAATAACAGTAGTAAATACGACTGCAACTGTCCTTTGTCGAAACTACAGGTGTCAAATTCAGTTCAGGGGCCAGAGCCAGTGCAACACATCACATCTAGCCCACTGAAACAAATATTGTTTCTGCTTCATGTTTCAAGCCGAACAGATTTGTTCTTTTCATTTTGGTTCTTGAAAATATACTGTATTGAATATGGTGGAACAGTGGACGTCTGTTTAGCACGTCTCCCACATTCCAAAAACATGCATGGTAGGTTTATGGAACACCCGAAATTGTTCCTTGGTGTGATTGTGAGTGTGAATGGTTGTTTGTCTACGTGTGCCCTGCAATTGATTGGGAACCAGTTCAGGGTGTCCCTTGCCTACTGCCTGACGAAGGCTCTGAGAGACTCTGGCACACCCGTGACCCTCGAGTGGGTAAGCGGCTTGGATAATGGATGGATATTATACCGATAAATGCAGGGGCCAACAATGTGCCATCACTCAGTTAATATGCTGGAAAAACAATTTCAAATTTACTATGTCGTTATTGATAAAAAAATTGTTGAATGTAATAATTTGCTGAGGTGATTATACCCTTATATGGTTTTCACAGCGGTCGCAACTCCCTGAGGGAAATGATAACTACAATTTTGAGACCAAACTGTGGCTTGCTGTTTGCTAGCCTTCGTCCAATTTTGCCAAGCAGCCTACAGTATTTTTGTTATTGTTGTTGTTTAAAAAAGAAATACGTGTACATCAGTAAAATGCCTATATATGTGTTCCTCACTTGTTTATACTCCCTTCTCTTACTACTCTTTTTCAGATTTTGCCATTATATTTGAAGAATTTCAATCACTAGAACTTCACTCGTGCATAGAAATAATCCTTTTCCACATTGCATGCGCTGCCTTTTTTCCTCATATACTTTCTGTCTTTCTGCATGTATTTGTCTCTTGGCATGGTCATCCAGTCCTCTACGTTCTCCTGCACACCCGAGGCTCAGTCATGAACAGGTCCTACAGTCTAAAGATGCTTGCAGAAACCGTTCTGTTCACAGTCTTGGCATAAAAACAAGACCATTATTACCAGTGTTACCAACATCATGTTTAAGCAAATCTCTGCCTTCTTCCAGATTTCATACTGTTACTATGTTTAGGTGCAAGGACCGTCCTGTTCAGTTTGCCTCGTCTGATTTCATCTGGTTCCCACGGTCTTCCCTCAATTGTCGTCAGTTTAAATCATCACCCAAGGATCACAGAACCTACTCTGCGCCAAGCTACAATTGTCATATAACAGTAACAACTTCAGCTGCATTTCCTCTGAGACCCATTTGCATCGTTTACATACGAAAAAATAGACACCATGTTTCCTCAAATAATCACTGCTACTTTTTTTTTGCATGGCAAAAAATGTGTGTGATGCAATTCTGTTGTTCTTAAAGTGTCGAAAAAATAATCATCCTCTTCTCAAATTTTAACTTTCTCATCGTTTGCCTACTTTAATGTTAAATATTATCCAAAAAATATTAACATCAAAGTAACTCAAGTCAACATAAAATGCAGTTTTTAAATAATGATTTTATTTATTACAGAAAGCAAATACAGTATTCAAAACTACCTGGCCTTGTGTGCAAAAGTACTTGCCCCTGTAGATAAATTATGTATTAACTGCAATAAATCGCTTTATTGGGGGAGAACCCAATTTCATTTTCTATGACCCCACCCAAGCCTGACTGCCTCCAGACTTGTTCAATCAGGAGATTGCATGAATAAATCTTGTCTGACAAAATGTCAGCCAAATGTTCTCAAAAAGCTGCAACAAAATGCCACAAACTAAAGAAATCCAAGAGCAAATGAGAAATAAAGTAAGCGATATATCAGTCTGAAAATGGTTGCAAAGCCATTTCGAAAACTTAGGGACTCCAGCGAACAATGCTGAGAGGAATTATCCACAAATGGACAAAGCATGGCACAGTGGTGAACCTTCCCCAGGATTAGACGGTCGACAGAAATTACCCAAGAGTGTGCCAATGACTCATCCAGGAGGTCACAAAGGAACCCTGGACAACATCTCAGCAACTGCAGGTCTCCCCCACCTCAGTTAATGTCAGTGTTCAGCACTCAACAGGAAGTAACAGACCGGGCAAAATTGAAAACCATGGCAAGACTTCTCAAGCAAAAACCAGTGCTGACCAAAAAGAGGAAGAAGAAGAAGTCTTAGTTTTCCAAAAAAAGACCCATCTGAATGATTATTCTATGGACTGATGAGACAAAAACTGCAGTTTTTGGAAGATGTGTGTGTCATTACATCTGAGCGTAAATGGAGCTCAGCATTGCAGAAGAAGAACATCAGGCCAGTAGTCAAATATGCACGTAGTATGATGGTCTGGGGCTGCTTTGCATCTTTAGGACCTGGACCACTTGCTCTGACTAAGCGAATCATGAATTCTGCTCTCTTACCCCCCGCACCGCCCCCCTCAAAAAAAGTCCTGAGGAACAATGTTTGACCATCAGTTTGTGACCTCAAACTTTAGCGCACTTCAGTTCTGCATCTTGACAATGATCCAAAGCACACTAGCAAATCAACTTCTAATCTGGATGTGAATTCATTTGAAATGCTCTGGCATCACACTTCAAGACCCTCCAATCTTGTTGAATTCACACAATTCTGCAAGCAAGACTGGCCCAAAATATCGCCGCCGAGAAGAGACTCATTGGCAGTTACGGGAAAGGCTTGATTTAATTTGTTCTTTTTGAGGGTCGCCCAACCACATACTAATTGTAGGGGAACAAGTACTATTTTGTATACGGTCAGCTCTCTTGGAATATTTTTTTTCGTACTAAACAAAATCACCACCGAAAAAAAAACTTTATTTTAGCCTCATTACTTGGTTGATCACAGCTGTTGTTAAAGTGCTATATAAATAACGATGGATTGCATTGTAATGTAAACATTCAAGTGGGTAAACTATTCGGGAAGCAATGGTTTCACAATCGCACAGAACTTATCCAGTAGCGTGAACCTTCCTGCAATACTGTGAGGCTTCTTGATACACCGTAAGATTTCCCATAATAACACAAAAATTATTGTACCGTGAGATTAATATTGTGACCAAGCCGAAGTTTAGATATTGTTACATACCTGCTGATACGATTAAGATATTTTTAGAAGGAAAAGCAGGGTTTGCCAAATGAAAATGTAATTTTGTCACTTCCCATGACATTATCGCAACAATTTTGAACAATAATTTCAGTGATAGAAGGAATGAAAAAAAGAACTGCATTTCTAGTTTTATTTTACAAAATTACTGTTTGAAGATATAGTAAATTGGAATTCAGTATTGATGTGCGAGAGTATGACGTTTTATGGGGTATTAGCCTACCTGTTTTTATATGACCTCACCTAGCAATGTGTGTATGTTGATTGTATGTTTTGCGTCCTTTTTTTTGATGCACTGTTGCTCACTGTGGTTCTAGGATCTGGTCTGGCGATAAAGAAGGCGTGTACCAGGGAGTCAGACGCAGTGTGTAAACCACTTGATGGCTTCTTCTGTGTGGACCAAGTTGGGGACGGCTGCCTTGAAGCACGGAATCACACAGACTGTCGACCAGGACAATACATAAGCCAACAAGGTTAATTTCTTACTTTAGGGATAGAGAAGTCCGGTTGTATAGTTACTGTATACAATACCACAAACTTTGAGGTTGTTACTCCTTGTTGCCAATATATAAAAATATTTACCGCTAATACAATACAAGCAAAGTGCAGATACAAGCATGATTGCAACATTGATCGGCATTATTGGACAGAAGTTTATTGCACAGATCAGGGGTTATTGTACGCCTGGTTGATGATTAAGACAGTTCTAAGAACAGTTTCTAAGGTAATGATTTAGAGTTCTTTATTGTAATGATAGCTTTGAGAAAGAACCGAGCTCTCAGACCAACTGCCAACTGCCAGCCATGAGAGACAAAATTCTCCGGTCTGAATAGTGAACATTATATTTGGAGCAAACCAGGCACCTCTAACCAGTTGGTCAATACCATCCTTGCAGTGAGGATGATCTCCAGCTACAATGTGCAAAGACTTCCTGGATGAAAACCAGTTCCGGAGCGCTCTCAACCTCAAGTTGGGGCTGAACTGAGGAGTTTTATAGTCTGTTGAGGTGTCTGTGATTGCACTTGTAAATTCGGATGTGAGCTGCCCTTACTTAGTGCCAGGAGAGAGGCCTGAGAACACACTTGATGAAATAATGTCATTGATATTTGCAGGAACACCATTTACAGACACCATATGTAAAGACTGCATTGGCGGCACCTTTTCGAATGGTACATTTTGTCAGCCACACACAAAGTAAGTGAAGCTTCGCATTCACTTGCCGGCTTTGAGCTACACTGAAAAAAGTTTTTGTTGAATTTACTCAATTTGATTTTACCAAGTGGCGGCATGAAATAAAATCATCTGGATGCAGGTAATTGTTTTTAAGGTGACTGTACATGTAACTAAAAATGTATATACAGATCCAGATTATTTTATTTTGTGCAGCCAGTTGGTGGAATAAAATTGAGTCAATTCAACAGACCATTTTTTTTCCAGTGTAGCGCAGATTTCATTCTGTCTTGAATTGTTTTTCAACACAATACCTGTCATTTCAGATGTGAATCCGAACATCTTCTCATAAAACGGGGCACAGCGTCAACTGATGCTGAATGTGGCCAAAAAAAATTTCCCGTGTGGATTATCGTCATTGCCATTTGGAGTTTCTGTGTGTTCGTTGCTGTCCTGATCTGCTTTATCAGAAATTGGAAAGTAAAGTATGAAATTGGTAAGTCTGTTACATGACTTTATGAAAAAAAGGCACTGTGGTTTTGCTAATTTGAAGTGGCCTGATCTTTTTTTTTTCCAGGAAGACAAAATCCATAGAGTTGGCCAAATGTATATATCTAAGTTTGTGTGTTGTACTGTATAATATACTGTTATTAGGTCTGTGTAGATTCTCAGGCATCCAGGTCACAGCAATCCCCAAAAGTTGAATCAAGCCTTGTGGACTCTTCTGGGTTATTCATGTGGTCCTTGGATGCTACCTGTTGGTGACCCTTGACTTACATGTACACACTGATATTTAACGTTTTTAGTGAGGAAGCTAAACACTAAACAACAATCAACACTGTTATTTATTGATGTTATTTACTGTCGCTATTGCTGTGCAGTCCAAATAAAGTAAAAAAAAAAAAAAGTAGGAAAAGCAACTACAGAAACCATTTGAAATATGTGCCCCAAGTTGTGTGATTGAAGTGGCTTTTCCATAACAGGGTGTTAGAGCCCATTGATTGGATCCACTACTTCTTGACTATTTCATTTATGGTACTTTTTCATTGGGTATTTGAATTTATTGCTCCTACATTGTCGGTACACTTGTGTTTTTCATTACTGTTGCTGCCTTTCCTTCCTCCTCATTCAGCCATTTTGCTGATGAATACAACTGGTTGGGCAACGTGAGGGGATTTTTTTGTGTGAGGAGCGAAACAGTTTGGCAACCACTAAATGCTCGATCAGTAGCTAAATGAGCTATTTTTTAATTGCTTATTTGTTTTGAAGTCAACAACTGAGATGTTTTGTTTTTGCTCGTGAAATAGAAAACCTTTTGGTCCAAAGTGAAAATATCCATGTGAATGCTTATTTGATGAGTTGCAAACCTCCTCTCAGAAGCTACTGACATTTTTTTACCTTTTTTTAAATGCAGGAATGTCCAGAACACCGGGGTTAATTTTTTTCTCAGGGAGATTGTAAAGTACACATTTTTACAATTGAATGATTGAATATTGTTTTCCCATATGTCCCTTGTTTTGTGGCTTCGTAATTTTCTTGACCAAATAAACTTTGATGTTTGCTTTGATGGATGGAAATGATTTTGCTTTGTTTTTCTGTACTACCTTCTACATCAGGTCGTGATCATACTTTGGATGCATTCGATGAAAGTGCAGAAGTCGGCTTTCTACCACCAGGGATGAGAGTGGCTCGTGATGAAAAAAGCCGAAAGGGGCGTGGCCGGGACGGGGGCGTGGCCACTTACAAAAGTGGCACTAAACATGCTGAAGATGAAGTGTATTCAATTTACACACTATTTGAAACTTTAACAGAAAAAAATCCCAAGATTGTTCACGATTCTTTCAAATAAAATTTTGCAATTTTGCTTACGCATTCCTGGTGAGCACCAACTTTGCTGCTCAAAATCAAAATTAAAAAAGGAAACACATTCCCTACCATATTTAAGATTTGTTCATTAGTTGTATTCATAAAGTGTTGTGTAAATGTGATAAAAAGCTGTTGATTCTTACCTCATACAGTGATAGTGAAGTCCCACACTGTTTACTATGTATGGGTTATGAATGTATTTTATTATATAAAGTGGATGTCTATTTACAGTATATACAACAATATAAAGTTTCATGAGGTAGAATACTTTATTTTCTCTTCATTTTAAGGTTTTTAGCAAGCGCTAAAAGCTTGTTGGTCCTCTCCGTCTTTTTCCACTCTCTTTTTAGCCAACTCCTCTTGTTTTCACACATGCTCCAGGCTGTCGAAAAGCGCTTGAGATCGGGTAGTTACTTTTCATTAGAAATGTCTGTTTTCGGTGTTTCACCGAGGTTGCGTGACTCTGGAAAGCTTTCCATCCTCTCGATCCGTATAGAATGACGTCGTCACACACTGTACACAGAGCTTTACCGGCGACATCGAGCTTTTTCACGAAATCCGACACAAGCACAATGGTTCCTCTTTACTGTTTCCAGCTGGGGACACCGTCAGCTTTCTATCCAACCAGTCCCATCGAAACGTGTTTTTCAGATCCGCATCTATCTGACGCACTTTAGCTTCGTCACGAGTCTCAATAACATTCGGCATTTGTTTAATACAGACTACATACACGAGAAATTTCAATACACTACTTCCCTCATGCAAAACCATTCAGAATTCGCGGAAAAGGGCTTTAGGAAGGCGAACACGGATTAGTTGTGACTCTGCATTTGCCGATACAGCGACCAATCACAACAAGTAAGACATCATACACGTCCAATCGCAGGGCTGTTTACAATCGGAAGCTGGAAAGACTGATCGGGAGAGCTTGTGAAAACTCGACGATAAGGTAACTGACCCCCCCGAAAATTTTTTCAACGGATTGCACAATATCCAGCTTTTCGTGGAAGGCCCGTCTTGAAAATTGTGTGGAAAGTAGTTCTGCAGCCAGATCAACGTCTTCTCCTTCGGCCATTTTGAGTTAAAATGCGAGTGATCGCTCTAGCAGACGCTAATCCAATCTTTTTTTTTTTTTTTTCTTTATTGAACAAGTCAGGATCCAATTCTCAGGAAACAGAAAAGGCGCTAATCCAATCACCGAACACGCACGGCCAGTCTCGACGTAAGGCCTTCGAGCTGGCCTTCTAGCTGGCCCCAGTACGCAGACGAGTCAGATCACGAAACCTGACTGTGCCCGTTCATTTACAGCGCACAGGGGCCTGCTCTGTTTTATCTGAAGGCCCCGAGCAAGTTTAATTTACCTGGCAATACAAGCTAGCTGAAATATGATTGGTTAAAAACTCTACCATAATAAATAAGTTATTTATTGAGTGGCTTTTGATGTTAGGCGTAGAAAAAAAGTAGTGTGTTTCCGGTAACATGAAATTTCAGCATAGGGTCGGTAGGTCGAACAAAGTTTTTTTTTTTAAATCCCCCCCCCATCAAAAATGTAAACAAAATAACCATAAAACATAAAACAAGGAGACATTGAAACCCCCGCTCTCCGCCAAAGGCGGCGAGAGAGTTGGGTACCCGGCGGCTGGGGGTTCCAGGCACCTCGTTACCTCTGC